ATTTCCACATCGTTGCCCAATTACACTGTGCATTGAGGTCGGCTAAATTGGAGATATCCTATAAGGACGTTATTCCACTGCAAAGCTTGGTGTCCTCCTGTAGCATCCCCTCTGCATTGTTCTAGTCCACCTTTGTGTGTTCCAGCTCTACCTATTACATTCTCAATAATGCAAAATAAATACTCCTTTAGGTATGGTGGGAACCCCTTATAAAAAGCATTGCAGCTGGGCAGAGTCAGTAACACAGTTCAGGGATGGTGGGAACTCCTCATTAATAATCTTGGTAGGTGTGCAGACCTGGGAGCTCAGTATAGAGATGGCAGGAACCCCCCACAATGGGCACAGTAAATGTGCAGACCCAGGAAGGCAACACGGGGATGGTGTCAACCCCTCATAAAGGACACAGTATTTGTGCAGACCCAGGAACGCAACAAAGGGATGGTGGGGACCCTTCATAATGGTCACAGTAGGTGTGCAGGGCCTTGGACTCAGTGCAGGGATCTCATCAATGGAGACCCAGAGACATAGAAGAAACTAGCAATGGATGAAACTAACTATCCATTCTGGGTGGAGTGACCCTTTAACTGAGATCATCTCTGTTTACCATTTTGTAGGATATTTCCACGTTTGTACTAATCGACCCAAATGTTATAGATTGCAAATCTGATTGTAACATGTATGACCAGTTTAAGGCTGAATCAACAAATTGTTAATATGCTGTGCAAGGACCAACCTGATTGGATATACATTTACATGGACTGTTCCTGTAAGCCCTCAGGCTAACTGGTTGTTGATAAATCTAAAGAAGATTGTACAGTCAGATTTTTCCATGTGTCCAGATGAAAGCTGGCCTCATATACCACCATCAGATTGTACAATCTTGAGATTTACTAATAACCATGAGCTACAATGGTCCCTCTGATTGGGTATACTTGAATGGGTTGTTGTGGTAGGTCCTACATAGTGCTTGGTAAATCTGAAGGAGAGAGAGGTGGGTGGTTAGGTTGGGTCGTACATGGCGAGTTTGGTAATGGTGGGAGAGGAATAGTCTGGGATACTTAGTTCTTGGCTGCCATTATTATACCACAATGTCTTTGCACAGGGATTACCGGATTATACCAAGTGGTTGGCTCATTACTCTACAATGAAAAGTGAACCCCGAGTGAAATCGATTACTTGCCGTTCCTATGCCAGGTAATAGATGCTATCCCTACATACATCTTCCCGTAATCCCCATCCCCACGGGAAAAGGCTGAGAGAGAGGGGGAGTCAGCCAAGCACTGTTGTACAGTGTTTTCAAACTAACATATTGCAAGCCCCAGGAGCTGGAAGGGGGAGGTGTTTAGGCAGCTTGCGAGTGTAAAAGAATACCTGGAGGAAGCCAACATCTTTAGGCCGATATAACTCTAGACATACAGGGAAGGAAATAAGTATTTGATCCCCTGCTGATTTTGAATGTTTGCCCCGCTCACAAAGAAATGATCAGTCTAAAAATCGAATGTTCGGTGTATTGTAACAATGAGAGACAGAATAGCAACAAACAATTCAAAAGAAATGCATGTCTAGTAAATGATGCACTGATTTGCATGTTCATGAGGGAAATAAGTATTTGATCCCCTATCATTCAGCAGGATTTCTGGCTACCAGGTGTCTTTCATACAGGTAACAAGCTGAGATTAGAAGCAGTCTCTGAAAGGGAGTGCTGCTAATCTCATTTTGTTACCTGTATAAAAGACACCTGTCCACAGGAGCAATCAAACAATCAGATTCCAAACTCTACACCATGGCAAAGACCAAAGAGCTGTCCAAGGATGTCAGGGACAAGATTGTAGACCTACACAAGGCTGGAGTGGGCTACCAAACTATCGCCAAGCAGCTTGCTGAGAAGGTGACAACAGTTGGTGCAATCATTCACAAATGGAAGAAACACAATTTCCTTCACTGTATACAGTATGCCATTTCTATATTTAGCTTGTCTTGGGATTTTCTCTTCCTCCACAGAATCGGGATCATTGGAAACCCTTCAGATGGTTACTTCGGTAAAACCATCTCCATGACTATTTCCAACTTCTGGGCAGAGGTCACCATCTCAGAAAGCAAGAAGCTGGTAAGGACCAATAAATAAAAGTAATAAGACGTCGTTGGGAGAGGACACCAATCTTTGTGGTAATCTAAAATACTTCTGGAAGATTCAAGGAGAAATCCAACACGTTTCAGGGAAATGTAAGCTCTTCTTCAGGGCAACTGATTGTAAACGTTAGATCAGTACAGGGTGGGATCAAAAAATGCATTTAGAAATCTATCGCACCATTTAATTATTTTAACATCCTTTAGTATAGAATTCATCCTTTTGAATTAAATTATTATATCAATATGTATTATATTATAAAATAATCCATAATAGAAGTTATAATCACTCAAAAATATTGAATCTGTTTATAATTTCCTTCCCTGCTTTCTCGACTGTCTCTTCAACATGCTAACTACATTTTTAAATACATTCTGTTTTTATTACATATCTTATTGTACACCAAATTACTTCATTACTGGGTCTCTATATTTATCTATGCAAAGCCAGTGGATCGTGACTGATGGGAGGGGCCCACATATTAAAAAATTAACTACAGTACATATCATAATTTTATTGTTGGATTCCCCAGTTCATACTTTTATTAAGTGGGTACATTTTGTTCCATAACATTTTTATTTTGTGAATTTAACCTAATCCTGATTTTTGATTTTAAGTATTTCAAGAATTATTTTTAAATGTCACATGACAAGTCAATTTTGTGTTTTGTTTTTTTTGCACAATATTTATAACATAGTTTATTTTCCTGATCAGATTTTGGTTCCTCACCCACTCAATGACCCAACGGAGTTTGGAAGTTTGCTGGACTTGTACTACATAAGCCGGAAAGAAGGGTGAGGATTCATTTGCCATAAAGGGATTATATTGGATTTTTACAAACTGTATTTTTTTTTTTGTTCAGCACTAAAAATAACACCGTAAAGTGTTTGTATTTAATATCAATAAGGTCCTGTACATGTGATTTGCTATATTTTATGCCTCCCACTTGCAACCAGTAGATGGCGGGCTCCTAGTAACTTTTTACAAGTTGTTAGTGATGTGAAATAGACCAGAAGGTACAGAGAGATCAGATTACATGCACAGCTAAATGAGTCAGGGGAAGGACTCACGTCCTCTCTCCCTTTCTCCTGTCTAATTTAACAGTTAGGTCCTAAAAACATGCTAGATGTTCTGTGTTTTCTTGTTATGAACTAAGACCAACATTAAGGGCTGGTTCACACCACAGGAACACAGTGCAGATGCTTTCAGTATGCGTTTCTGTATGACGCAGTTTTTGGTGAGTTTTTTAATGCGTCCAGTTCATTTTTTTCCCCCCCTCTCTTTTTCTTCAACTTAAATAAGGATGTGCATTTTTGGTGCGTTTTATGATACGTTTTACTGCGTTCCAGTACAGTTCAGTGCAGAAAAAATGCAGCATGTTCTCCTTTTTTTCTGGAACTGGAACACACTGGAGCTGACTGCACTGGTGTGAAACATGTCATTTGAAACCATGTAACCTACTATCAATGTCTTTTTGATACAGAAAAAAAATGCACTGGACTGCATGCGTTTGAGGAGCTTCACCATAGACTTGAATGGGAGGCTTCAACTCCTCCTGACTCGACATGAGGCGTCAATTTTGCTGCGACACTAATGCTTCAGTGTGAACAGCACTGTGTGCTGCCATGTGTAGAATTTTCATAGGCATTGAGGAGGATTAAAACTGCTTTCCAAACGCCTGTCTAACGCCTGCTAACAAAGCTAGTGGGAACTTCACCTTATGGCAGGAATACATGGTAAGAAAATCATCCGATCGGTCATCCGACGACCGATCGGCGTTTGTTGGTCGAAATCCTGGCCCACATTAACCAATCGAAAAAAAACGTTTGTCGCACAATACGTCTTCCTTACAAGTGGAAGTGATGCAGTGTGCGTGTGACCTTGTAGCCACGCCCTTCCGGCCAGAACGAGCGTAAACTGCCCTGCTGCCCAAAATGAGCAATTGGACATAAATCCTTGGAATAAATTGGATTTATGGATCCTTGGACATAAACATCCGAGTCATCTTCTGTTTCCTCTCATGTGTGATAGCGCTTGATAGATTTTTTTCGGACTACCATCATACCACCACATAGAACAACATTTTTCACTGTTGTTCAACTGGATTTTTTTGTTCACAATATCGTCCCATCAGCCCATATCAGTGCCGTGCTGCCTATATCAGTGGCCGTCAGTGCTGCCTATCAGTGGCCGTCAGTGCTGCCTATCAGTGGCCGTCAGTGCTGCCTATCAGTGCCCGTCAGTGCTGCCTATCAGTGCCAGTGCCGCCTATCAGTGTGCCCATCAGTGCCGCCTATCAGTGCCTATCAGTGCCGCCTATCAGTGCCCGTCAGTGCTGCCTATCAGTGCCCATCAGTGCTGCCTATCAGTGCCCATCAGTGCTGCCTATCAGTGCCCATCAGTGCCGCCTATCAGTGCAGCCTTATCAACGCACATCAGTGAAGGAGAAAAATTACCTGTTTGGAAAATTTAATAATAGAAACTAAGAAACTTTTTCTTTTTCAAATTTTTGCATTTTTTTGTTTATATAGCGCAAAAAATAAAACACCCAATGGTGAGTAAATACCACCAAAAGAAAGCTCTATTTGTGAGAAAAAAATGATAAAAATTACATATAAGTACAATGTTGCATGACCGCGCAATTGTCACTCAAAGTGTGACAGTGCTGAAAGCAGAAAATTGTCCTGGTAAGGAAGGGGGTATAAGTGCCCTGTAGGCAAGTGGTTAAACATGTTCAGGAAAAAAAAAAACTGGGGGTTCAAATCTTTCTTTACTGTATTCAAAACAAAAAAAAAAAAAGGTTTTGCCTTTATATAAACTTTATAAAGTGATAAGGTGAACTGATGTCCTGTCTCCCCCATCCTTCCTCAGGTACCTGGGAGGTCTGAGACTGCTGCAGGCCACATGCAAAAAATTTTACCAGTACTGTTCGGAGAAAGGGTAAGTACAGCAAAATTTTCACTTTCCTTTTTCTCTAAATTTTGGGAAAAATTTGATGATTTTTTTAAAATTATGCCATTTCAAAGAAATGTACTGGAATCAATGGGGAAGGCAAAATGAAAAGGATTCTCTCTGCATCTTTGGTACAGGTTGTCCATAAGGGTACTTTCACACTGAGCCACCACAAAAATGCAGCAAAAATGCATAGGCTGCGCTTACGATGTGTTTTTTTAAAGGACGTGTAACTCAAAAACTGCGCCAAAAACGCATCCCGTGAATGTTTTTTTAAGCGTTTTACATTGATTTCAATGGGAAGGTGCATATTTGGTGTGTGTTTTTTTTTTTTTTTTTGTTTTTTTTTTACCAAACATGCTCCAAAAATGCTGCAAGCAAGATGTTTTACACCATAGGGCAGGGGCGGACTGACAACTCATGGGGCCCCTGGGCAATAGGGGATTATGGGGCCCCTGTGTCCTTGCCCAAACTCAAAAAAGCCTATGAAAAAGGTACCAGGAGCATCTCATAGGGCCGCCTACTGACCCCGGGCCCTCGGGCAGTACCCGAGTTTCCAAATGGTCAGTCCGCCCCTGCCATAGGGGAAGCACAACTCCCCAGTGTGAAAACATGCATAGAATTTAAGGGAAACATTTTTCGTGAGCTTTTCAAGCATTGTTTTTGAAATGCAAAAGCACTTCAAAAACCTCTCAGTGTGAAAGGAGCCTTAAAGTGATTGTAAACCCTTACATACCCAGTAAAGTGACAGGCCTCAAATGATATACAGAGATGAAACCAATCCTCCTGTGTGAATTGTAACTGTTTATCTCCAGTCTTCTCTTCTCTACATCCATTCAAAGTCCAGAATTTATAAAACTTGTCTGAACTGTCAGAAAACAGAGGTGGAGAGCTGAAATTACACACTGCAGATATCAGTGAAGCGATCCCTGAAAGCTGAATGGAGGGCAAAGACACCACCCCCTTCACACAGGAACAGAGCTGAGACTGTCAATCACAGGTTGTGTGCTAGAGCTCCCTCACCTGTCACTTTTCTTCTCTTGGTGTCAGGAAAATTGTCAGAAGTGATTCATGCTAATAGCAGAGGAACAAAGCAGCAGACAGAAATGACACTTAGTGCTAGACAGGTACACACTATAGAGGGATATGCTTTGTTACAACTTATCTCTGAGGTTTACAGCCACTTTAAGGCATGGCAGAGACACGCCTTGATAATAACTGGAACACTGAAAGAGGTTAACATGAGACCAGGTGGGCAGCACTCAGGGTTGGACTCTTCATCATCAGACCATCCATTCCAACAATCGTCACATAAGATTATAAGGGCGTTTGGGACCAGTTCACACAACATGCGTTTCAGTTGCTTTTTTTCTGGATTCAAAATGTACAGAAAGAAGGTTATATGGTTGTCAATGTCATAGTTCACATCAGCGCTTGCAGGTCTAGTGCGTTCCGGATGCAGAAAAAAAAAAGTAGAACAGGCTGTGTTTTTCCTGCACAGAACTGTACACATCAAAAACACACGAATGCCCTGGAGCGCACCATTAACACACTGGAACGCACATGTCCCTATTTCAATTGAATACAAAATGAACTGAAATGTATCAAAAAACCCACTGGAATGCGTTAAAAACTCATTAAAAACGCACTGGAACGCGTTAAAAACTAATCAAAAACGCACTGGAACGCGTTTAAAACTCATATAAAAAGCACTGTATCATGTCAAAATCTCATCAAAAACGCACTGAAACGCATAAAAAAAAAACATGCAGAAATGCATCCAGAACGCGTTTCTATAGTGTGAACCGGCCCTTAATGTATTTTATTCATGTTATTTACCTGTAAAAGCCTCCTTTTGTGTAGATATTCAAAAGTCCTGAAACTGCTGCTGGCCACTGAACTGTCACTCAATTGACTACTATATATAGTATCTATAGGAGGGGCAAAGCAGCTGGACCAGCACAGACAGTATTGAACACTTCCAGCCAGGGGCGGACTGACAACTCATGGGGCCCCTGTGTCCTTGCTCAAACTCAAAAAAGCCTATGAAAAAGGTACCAGGGGCATCTCATGGGGCCCCCTACTGACCCCGGGCCCTCGGGCAGTGCCCAAGTTTCCAAATGGTCAGTCCGCCCCTGCTTCCAGCAGAGGAGTGGGCTATAATGTGGGAGAGGGAATTGACTTCCTTTGGAGTAATTAGATATTCTAACAAGTTCAGAGGGACATTGCAAGTGAAAACATCATTTGTGAAAAGAATGAACGCCGCGGGTAAGCATTTCAAATACACCGTTTTTTTTCTGTGCTTCAACCTGCAATTTGTTAGGTTGGTGACAGGGTCTCTTTAACAATAGAGTGAGCTTCAGATGGCTCCCGAGCAGGAGCGGACTGACAATTCATGGGGCCCCCGGGCAATAGGGGATCATGGGGCCCCTGTGTCCTTGCCCAAACTCAAAAAAGCCTATGAAAAAGGTACCAGGGGCATCTCATGGGGCCCCCTACTGACCCCGGGCCCTCGGGCAGTGCCCAAGTTCCCAAATGGTCAGTCCGCCCCTGCTCCTGAGGGTTACAGAAGCTCCTTTAACCAATCCTGGACCTGATTTTGTGCCATTATTTCATGTTTTAGGTATAATTCAAATATTTTAGGAGACAGGACACAAATCACAAACAAAAGATAAGGAAAGGACAAATGCGGTTGGAGAAATGTGTCATTCTAGCTGTGTCTCAGTGATTGCACCACGTCGGGTGATTTCACTTTGTTAGTGTTTGGCACCCTCCGATTGCTGAAATCTTTATCATCTCTCCCCAGGATTGCTCTTTCCAAACAGAATTTTACCCTCAAGTACAACGTGAACATTCCGCGGCAAGTGGTGAGTCGTGTCTGGAAATCGCTCACTGTGCTGGAAGAGGGACAAAGGGGATCCTGGCCATACACAGTACAATTATACATACAGGCGTACCTCAGTTTACGAATTTAATTTATTCTGTGGGACTTTTCGTATTGCGAAAAATTTGTAAACTGAAACGTGGTTTCCTATAGGAATGCATTGGAAACCAATTAATCTGTTCAGGAGGTCAGAAAAAAAGTTAAAAAAAAGTTTTATCTGTTCAAAACTCTTTATAAAGTGCACTTTAACCCCTCGCCTACCGGGCACTTATACCCCCTTCCTGCCCAGGCCAATTTCCAGCTTTCAGCGCTGTCACGCTTTGAGTGACAATTGCGCGGTCGTACAACACTGTTACCCATATGAAATTTTTATCATTTTTTTTGAGACAGATAGAGCTTTATTTTGGTGGTATTTAATCACCTCTCGGTTTTTTATTTTTTCTTAAACAAATCAAAAACCACTGAAAATTTTGAAAGAAAAAAAAAATGTTTTTTTCTTAGTTTTTGTTGTAAAATTTTGTAAATAAGTGATTTTTCTCCTTCACTGATGTGCGCTAATGAGGCTGCAGTGATGGCACTGATAGGCTGCACTGATGGGCACTGATAGGCTGCACTGATGGGCACTGATAGGCTGCACTGATGGGCACTGATAGGCTGCACTGATGGGCACTGATAGGTGGCACTGATGGGCACTGATAGGTGGCACTGATGGGCACTGATGAGGAGGCACTGATGGGCATTGACAGGCATCACTGATGGGCACTGAAAGGCAGCACTGATACATGGCACTGATAGGCAGCACTGATAGGCGACACTGATAGGTGGCACTGACTGGCACTGATAGGTGGCACTGATGGGCACTGATGAGGAGGCACTGATGGGCATTGACAGGAATCACTGATGGGCATTGACAGGCATCACTGATGGGCACTGAAAGGCAGCACTGATACATGGCACTGATAGGCAGCACTGATAGGCGACACTGATAGGTGGCACTGACTGGCACTGATAGGTGGCACTGATGGGCACTGATGAGGAGGCACTGATGGGCATTGACAGGAATCACTGATAGGCACTGGAAGGCAGCACTGATGCATGGCACTGATAGGCGGCACTGATAGGCAACACTGATAGGTGATTTTTTCTCCTTCACTGATGTGCGCTAATGAGGCTGCAGTGATGGCACTGATAGGCTGCACTGATGGGCACTGATAGGTGGCACTGATGGGCACTGATAGGTGGCACTGACTGGCACTGATAGGTGGCACTGATGGGCACTGATGAGGAGGCACTGATGGGCATTGACAGGCATCACTGATAGGCACTGGAAGGCAGCACTGATGCATGGCACTGATAGGCGGCACTGATAGGCAACACTGATAGGTGGCACTGACTGGCAGTACTGATGGGTGACACTGAAAGGCAGCTCAGATGGGCACTGATATGTGGCATTGATGTGCACTGGTAGGCATTGATATGTGGCATTGATGTGCACTGGTAGGCATTGATATGTGGCATTGATGTGAATTGGTAGGCACTGATATTGATGTGGCATTGATGGACACTGACAGGTGGCACTGATGGACACTGACAGGTGGCACTGCTGGGGCCAAACTGATCATCAGGGCACATGTCCCCTCCGAGGAATGCCGATTACCGGCTCTCCTCTCTCCTTTGTCAGTGTGACAGCTCGAGAGGAGAGAAATGCCAATAACTGGCATTTCCCTGTTTACATGTGATCAGCTGTGTTTGGACACAGCTGATCACATGATCGAGCCGACATCTTCGGCTTTTTCCATGATCGGTGATTTACGTTAACTGAGGCGTTCATAAACCGAGGAACGTCTGTCCGATCATATGATCAATATATCTACTGCCTATATCTACTGCCCGATCAGAAAACTGAAAATATCGTTTGCATACACTCAACAATCATATTGAATAATCTCCTTTCCTAGGTCCAGGTCTTCCATCCAGACTGATCAGAATAATCTTGATTAAGGCCTCTTTCAGATGGAGGTTCCGATCGGTTCTGCCTTCCCCTTTTTCAGGTGAACCCGATCGAACCTCCATTCTCCTCTATGGAGCGTTAGGTGTAAACGGACACGTGAGTCTGTTTACACTCACCGACATCCAATCTGATCTGCAAAAAAGGACGGATGGGAATCCATTGAGGAGAGCGAGCTGCTCAGTGTCTTCTCTGCAGCAGCAGCGGAGCAGACACAGAACTGTCATCCGCTTGCTCAGCAGGGATCAGCATAGAGATCTCCCACTGAGCAGGCAGATCCGCTAAATGTGTCCCCTCTGTGTGACAGGAACCTAAATCGATTGGTTTTCATCTAAATTGATCGATGACACGTGTCACTTTGATAATGAATCAATCCAATCCAATTTCGTGAGGAATTGTTTGATCAGATTGTTACATATATGGCAAGCATTAAAGGGACATCAGCTGCTGGCTGTCTTCGCAGATTAAAGGCTCATTCTATCTAAAAGGGATGTTTCAGTAATAAGTGGAATCTAGAGGACTGGATTACAGAGTCTTAGTCTGTATTGGATCGTTCCGGCTCGTTTCCACCCACCATTGTGTGTTTCAGCTACTCCTGTTACTTCTGTATGACAGGAATAAATATACATCTGCCAGAGTGGGAACCTCTCATAATGGGCACAGGATGGTGAGAACCCCTCATAATGGGCACAGCAAGTGTGTAGACCCCGGAACTCAGCACAGGAATAGTGGGAACCTCTCATAATGGGCACAGGGATGGTGGGAACCTCTCATAATGGGCACAGGGATGATGGGAACCTCTCATAATGGGCACAGGGATGGTGGGAACCTCTCATAATGGGCACAGGGATGGTGGGAACCTCTCATAATGAGCACAGGGATGGTGGGAACCCCTCATAATGGGCACAGCAAGTGTGCAGACCCAGGAACTCAGCACAGGGATGGAGGGAACCCATCATAATAGCCAGTGTAGGTGTACAGACCTAGGAACTCGGCACAGGGATGGTGGGAACCCCTCATAATGGGCACAGCAAGTGTGCAGACCCAGGAACTCAGCACAGGGATGGAGGGAACCCATCATAATAGCCAGTGTATGTGTACAGACCTAGGAACTCGGCACAGGGATGATGGGAACCCCTCATAATGGGCACAGCAAGTGTGCAGACCTAGGAACTCAGCACAGGGATGGAAGGAACCCATCATAATAGCCACTGTATGGGTACAGTCCTAGGAACTCAGCACAGGGATGGTGGGAACCCCTCATAATGAGCACTGTAGGTGTACAGACCTAGGAACTCAGCACAGGGATGTGGGAACCTCTCATAATAGGCACAGTGGGTGTACAGACCCGGGAACACAGATCAGGGATGGTGGGAACCCCTCATAATGGGCACTGTAGGTGTACACACCAAGGAACTCAGCACAGGGATGGTGGGAACCCCTCATAATGAACACTGTAGGTGTACAGACCTAGGAACTCAGCATAGGGATGTGGGAACCTCTCATAATAGGCACAGTGGGTGTACAGACCCGGGAACACAGATCAGGGATGGTGGGAACCCCTCATAATGGGCACTGTAGGTGTACACACCAAGAAACTCAGCACAGGGATGGTGGGAACCCCTCATAATGGGCACAGCAGATGTACAGAACCAGGAACTCAGCACAGGGATGGTGGGAACCCCTCATAATGGGCACTGCGGATGTACAGACCCGGGAACTCAGCATAGGGATGGTGGAACCCCTCATAATGGGCACTGTAGGCGTACAGACCAAGGAACTCAGGACAGGGATAGTGGGAACCTCTCATACTAGGCACAGCATGCATGCAGACCAGGAACTCAACATAGGGATGGTGGAAACCCCTCATAAAGAGCACAGCGGGTGTACAGACCCGGAAACTCAGGACAGGGATGGTGGGAACTGCTCATAATGGGCAAAGCAGGTGTACAGACCTGAGGACTCAGTGCAGAGATCTCATCAACAGAGATCATTACATGCCATAAAAACAAAGCAACATATGATGATTCTGTTTGGTCAGTCTTGTGATTCTCACCAGTCATATCTGCTGCATCTCTGCAGTTTTGTGGATCACTTCCTCACCAAACATTGAATCAGGAGTGTTATGAAGCTTATAAACTATTCAATCTCAAGCAGAGGTGACAGAGGAAGCTACAGGAGGGTATAGTGGTGTTACCCCGTTACCCCCCTGGCTTTAAGGAGTGGCAGGAGTGTGTGTAAGTCACAAAACTGGTTGTACATGATTAACATTTTTTTCACACATCAATCAAGTTGTTTCTATGTATTTAATTTCTCAGGGTTTTCTGATGGTGACAACAATAGACCGTGCCTCTATGTTGTGTGTTGGAACAGCCGCTTGTAGTCTCCATTGGAAGCCCTTGTAACAGGGTGACAACACAGGGGCACAATTGGGTAACAGGGTCAGAGTGTTGTCACCCTATAACAGGAAGTCCCTGAACAAGGATCACCAGGGGACATAAAACTGGCTTAAACTGGTTTAAGAGGTTTGGGGAGCCCCTGTTGTTGATGATTTCTTAAAGGTGCAGATTTAAAAGGATTGAAAATTATTTTATTAAAACAAAGCTATAAGATTTCAGTGATTGTGTTTACAGATCGTTCTGCGAATCATTCCTCTTCCGTAGAGTTCGGGATCTTCTTGTTCTCCATCTTATGATATTAAAACACAGACAACATAACATAATAACATCATTTGTGTTTCTCTCCTCTGCAGGGATTGGCTGGGAGCAGGTGAGTCTGTCTTTGGTTGATTTTTGTTTTTGTACAAAAGTAGTAGTCTTGCCTTACATTAATGGGAGCTTAATGCGCTCTGCTCCTGCATGAGCTTTCATATCCACTTACCTAATGTTGAGGCACATAGATTGGAAGGGCTCATGTCCTCTAAAGGGTGATCCATGGTGAATTGCTCTTCAGAGGGCATTTGACAGGCATTAATGTTGCCCTCCTCACGTGCCTTGGACTTGACACATGGCCCCATTCAGTTAAATGGGTAGTGTTCAGCGGGTGGTACTGCTGGTGAGTGCGACCGCTGGGATACATTTTGCTGCACTTTGCATTGCCGCCTTGGCATATGTCTCCCCCATCTGCTGCTGTAGCCTAACCTGTTAGATTGTAAGCTCTAATGAGCGGGGCCCTCTGGATCCTCCTGTATTCATTTGTATTGTAATTCTACTGCCCCCCTTATATTGTAAAGTGCGGCGTAAACTGTTGGCGCTATATAAATCCTGTATAATAATAATAAATATGTTTACGCCGGTGGTATGGATGTAAACAGAACTGTGCCGAGAGCGCGTGCCCTTGCGGTCACATGTTAAGAAACCCCGCCTTCTGGCATCAGAAACCTCTTAAAGGGCCGAGATGTCCTGGCGTTAAGGGGAAGTGATTCGGGGGGTGGTGGTAAAAGCGCATCACAGTTCCGTGTTTTTAATGTCCCTCAACTACAAGTGTAAATGAGGCCAAGGGGTGTCAGGTACTTTGCATATGAGCAGCAGTTAATTGGATATATTAGGCTATTTTTATTTCTACATTTGCACCTTATAGATCAGTGGTCTTCAAACTTCTCGGGCCAGATGTGGCCCTTTACTTGCCTGTATTCAGCCCCTGAGACAATATTCCTCCCATTGACACTAATGATGGGGCACCATTCCTCCCACCGACACCAATGATGGGGCACCATTCCTCCCACCGACACCAATGATGGGGCACCATTCCTCCCACCGACACCAATGATGGGGCACCATTCCTCCCACCGACACCAATGATGGGGCACCATTCCTCCCACCGACACCAATGATGGGGGCACCATTCCTCCCACCGACATCAATGATGGGGCACCATTCCTCCCACCGACATCAATGATGGGGCACCATTGCTCCCACTGACATCAATGATGGGGCACCATTGCTCCCACTGACATCAATGATGGGGCACCATTCCTTCAACCGACATCAATGATGGGGCACTATTCCTCCCACCGACACCAATGATGGGGCACCATTTCTCCCACCGGCACCAATGATGGGGCACCATTCCTCCCACTGACACTAATGATTAGGTACCATTCCTCCCACTGACACCTAATGATGGAGCACCATTCCTCCCACCGACACCAATGATGGGGCACCATTCCTCCCACCAACACCAATGATGGGGCACCATTCCTCCCAATGACACCAATGATGGGGGCACCATTCCTTCCACCGACACCAATGATTAGGCACCATTCCTCCCACTGACACCAATGATGGGGCACCATTCCTCCCACCAACGCCAATGATGGGGCACCATTCCTTCCACCGACACCAATGATTAGGGGCACCATTCCTCCCACCCGACACCTATGATGGGGCACCATTCCTCCCACCGACACCAATGATGGGGCACCATTCCTCCACCACCAGATCAATGATGGGGCACCATTCCTCCCACCGAAACCAATGATGGGGCACCATTCCTCCCACCGACACAATGATGGGGCACCATTCCTCCCACCGACACCAATGATGGGGCACCATTCCTCCCACTGATACCAATGATGGGGCACCATTCCTCCCACTGATACCAATGATGGGGCACCATTCCTCCCATCGACACCAATGATGGGGCACCATTCCTCCCATCGACACCAATGATGGGGCACCATTCCTCCCATCGACACCAATGATGGGGCACCATTCCTCCCATCGACACCAATGATGGGGCACCATTCCTCCCACCGACACCAATGATGGGGCACCATTCCTCCCATCGACACCAATGATGGGGCACCATTCCTCCCATCGACACCAATGATGGGGCACCATTCCTCCCACCGACACCAATGATGGGGCACCATTCCTCCCCACCGACACCAATGATGAGGCACCATTTCTCCCACCGGCACCAATGATGGGGCACCATTTCTCCAACCGGCACCAATGATGGGGCACCATTTCTCCCACCGACACCAATGATGAGGCACCATTTCTCCCACCGACACCAATGATGAGGCACCATTCCTCCCACCGGCATCAATGATGGGGCACCATTCCTCCCACCGGCATCAATGATGGGGCACCAATTCTTCCAGCTGACACCAATGATGGAGTACTATTCCTTCCAATGATACCAACAATAGGCCAACTCCCACTATAACCTAGGATGGGGCATTGTTCACTCTTAATGGCCACCACTGCCCCCCTAAGGCCAAAAGGACATTGGCCCTTTGAAAGATTTGGAGAGCCCTGTTATTGATGATTCCTTAAAGACAATCTATCACTTACATTTTAAATAAGCACAAAATGTAACCTCATTATCACATTCTGTGCAAAAACATCTCCGTTTATGGTCTGTAGGCCATCTGTAGCTCCAGCCTTGCCCCCGTTGTGTAGTACTGTCAGTGTAACATGCTTGTAACGGTGACTACAGAGATGACCTAATAGGTGCACTGCTGCACCCTTGTTGTCCAATCACAGACAGGGGCGGGTCCATGACCAGGCTGTACTGCTTACCTGCTGTGTGGTTTGCAAGGAGGACAAGGACCTGGTTGCATGTTATATTCTGTAGAAAAGTCCAGGACCTGGCTGTACTGCCTGGCAGGGGCGCCTGGATCACAATGCTGGCTGAGAAACAGCTCCTATGTATTTTATTTCCTTCTTGTATTCAGATGTTTGAATTTAATGCACCATCTGTGAGAGCTATGTGCCACGGATTGAACTGTTTTTACTCCATACATTACCAATAAAAGGGAAATACAGAGCAGAATCCATTCTATCATTTACCTCTATACATTCTGCGCCTCTCCGGCCATAATAGACTTTCTCTATATCATTTTGTTTTCTAGAAATGATAATGAATTTCCTCCTCCACCATCCCGCTACCCTCATCCTCCGTCCTCCCTATTTTCCTCCGGCTGCGTGATATCTGCATTTTAATAACCTCAGAAAACCTCGTATTGTTCTTCCATCCAGTTCAGTCCCGTTTGCGTCGTTTTATGGGTGAATTATGCGATGCTCTCAACGCACCTCCTTCGCTCGGCCCAGATGCCGGCACGGGCAGCGTCTTGCAAATTGCTGTTTATTATCCTGCGTGTCGCCTTTCTGGGGAATGTGATCAGCCGAGGGTTCCCGAGCCCTCCGCTCCGCGCACAAATCATTCGCCGACCGCCCAGAAAATGCTGCTAACGCATTCATGAGCTGTTCCTCTTTGCCGGGCATTTAAATTTAATTGCGCTCTTTATTAGGTCATTTCCGGGACTGATTGGAAACGCTTATTGAAAACGCTTCGACTGCTCATGTTCTTTAACCCTGTCACAGCTGGATTTCACTATTCCATCTAACATCCGCTGTTTTATTTTTCCAGCGCCATTGTGTCAGCGACGCTGAAATGTCTGATGAAGTTCTACAATTTGACAGATGATGTAAGTCTGTTGTGATGATTTATTATTGTAATGATGTTATCCTGATTTTATTATAATGGTCTTTTTATGACTTTTTGGATTAAACAAGTATAAAGAAGTGGTATCTGTACATAGTAGGGGTCTCCAATCTACACCCCCCGGGGCCACATCTGGCCTTCTATGAGATTTTATCCAGCCCATAGCTTGGGTCAGCGGCATATCCTCAAACTTAGTGCACAGACTGAGGATTCTGATTAGTTGGTCTCTGCTTCTGATGGGGACCCTGATGTGAGGTGGGGGACTCTGAGTCCCCCCTTACATCAGGGTTACCATCAGACGGAGACTCTGATGTAAGGGGGAACTCGAACAGAGAGACTGATGTAAGGGGGGACTTTGATGGGGACCCTGATGTATGGGGGGATGGGGAATCTGATGGGGGGGACCCTGATGTAAGGGGGGAACTCTGATGGGGACCCTGATGTTAGGGGGGACTCTGATGGGACTCTGATGTAAGTGGGGACTTTGATAGGGACCCTGAAGGAAGGGGTGTGATGATTGCAGCGTCAGACCCCAGCCCTTCTCACCAAACTTGTGACCGAAGGACTAGCCAATCTAAAACCGCGCTGTCACGTGTGTAACAATGCCACACCCAGCTGCACCCTGGACAAAGATTTTCCAGCTAATGGACCGCAATCTGTGTACCTGCAGCCTGGGAGCGATTGTTACTGGGTCAGGTTAATTACGCAATTAACCCTTCACACTGCCACCACCTCCTTTTTGTACAGAGAAAGAGGAAACTCTGCAATATCAGCAATAACACTATGATGTTTGAATAATCGTTTGTATACACAATGTCACCGCAGACAGATGTATGCAGACATTTTAAAACACACAGTAGCGCTCTTCAGAGACGGGTTCTTAGATGGCATTAAAGAGCTTTAGAAAAAGTTCAACACTTTTAGAAAGTAACATTTATTACTAAAAGTTCAAAAGGGTGTAATAAAAATATTTACAGAAAAAGATGTAGCCTATACATATATCTATATATATATATATATATATATATATATATATATATATATATATATATATATATATATATACCGTATTTGCCGGCGTATAAGACGACTTTTCAACCCCTGAAAATCTTCTGAAAAGTCGGGGGTCGTCTTATACGCTGGTATACGGCGAGCCGGTGTGTCAGGGCGGTACTTTTTCCAGGTGCAGTGTCCTCCAACGGACACTAAGTACAGGGGTGGGCGGAGGGGCTGCTGTACCTTACCTGGCTCCGGTCCCGGTCCCACGATGATCCGGTCCAGGAAGCGCGGCTGCTCCTTCTTTCAGTTCGGCCGCTCGATGCGCCTCCGCCTCCTCACCGGTGATTGGGCGCCAGCGCACACAGGCAACCAATCACCGGCGAGGAGGCGGAGCCGAACGGCCCCACGAAAATAAAAAGCTGCCGAACTGAAAGAAGGAGCAGCCGCTCCTCTCCCCCTCTGACACTAACGATGGGGCACTATTCCTCCTCCCCACTGACACCAATGATGGGGCACTATTCTCCCCACTGACACCAATGATGGGGCACTATTCCTCCCCCACTGACACCAACGATGGGGCACTATTCCTCCCCCAATGACACCAACGATGGGGCACTATTCCTCCCCCACTGACACCAACGATGGGGCACTATTCCTCCCCCACTGACACCAACGATGGGGCACTATTCCTGACACCCCACTGACACCAACGATGGGGCACTATTCCTCCCCCACTGACACCAACGATGGGGCACTATTCCTCCCCCACTGACACCAACGATGGGGCACTATTCCTCCCCCACTGACACCAACGATGGGGCACTATTCCTCCCCCACTGACACCAACGATGGGGCACTATTCCTCCCCCACTGACACCAACGATGGGGCAACTATTCCTCCCCCACTGACACCAACGATGGGGCACTATTCCTCCCCCACTGACACCAACGATGGGGCACTATTCCTCCCCCACTGACACCAACGATGGGGCACTATTCCTCCCCCACTGACACCAACGATGGGGCACTATTCCTCCCCCACTGACACCAACGATGGGGCACTATTCCTCCCCCACTGACAACCAACGATGGGGCACTATTCCTCCCCCACTGACACCAACGATGGGGCACTATTCCTCCCCCCACTGACACCAACGATGGGGCACTATTCCTCCCCCACTGACACCAACGATGGGGCACTATTCCTCCCCCACTGACACCAACGATGGGGCACTATTCCTCCCCCACTGACACCAACGATGGGGCACTATTCCTCCCCCACTGACACCAACGATGGGGCACTATTCCTCCCCCACTGACACCAACGATGGGGCACTATTCCTCCCCCACTGACACCAACGATGGGGCACTATTCCTCCCCCACTGACACCAACGATGGGCACTATTCCTCCCCCACTGACACCAACGATGGGGCACTATTCCTCCCCCACTGACACCAACGATGGGGCACTATTCCTCCCCCACTGACACCAACGATGGGGCACTATTCCTCCCCCACTGACACCAACGATGGGGCACTATTCCTCCCCCACTGACACCAACGATGGGGCACTATTCCTCCCCCACTGACACCAACGATGGGGCACTATTCCTCCCCCACTGACACCAACGATGGGGCACTATTCCTCCCCCACTGACACCAACGATGGGGCACTATTCCTCCCCCACTGACACCACCAACGATGGGGCACTATTCCTCCCCCACTGACACCAACGATGGGGCACTATTCCTCCCCCACTGACACCAACGATGGGGCACTATTCCTCCCCCACTGACACCAACGATGGGGCACTATTCCTCCCCCACTGACACCAACGATGGGGCACTATTCCTCCCCCACTGACACCAACGATGGGGCACTATTCCTCCCCCACTGACACCAACGATGGGGCGCTATTCCTCCCCCACTGACACCAACGATGGGGCGCTATTCCTCCCCCACTGACACCAACGATGGGGCGCTATTCCTCTCCCACTGACACCAACGATGGGGCGCTATTCCTCCCCCACTGACACCAACGATGGGGCGCTATTCCTCCCCCACTGACACCAACGATGGGGCGCCATTCCTCCCCCACTGACACCAACGATGGGGCGCCATTCCTCCTCCCACTGACACCCAACGATGGGGCGCCATTCCTCCTCCCCACTGACACCAACGATGGGGCGCTATTCCTCCTCCCCCCCACTGACACAAATGATGAGGCACTATTCCTCCCACTGACACTAATGATGGGGCACTATTAGTGTCAGTGGGAGGAGTAGTGCCTCATCATTGGTATCAGTGGGAGGAATCATGCCCCATCATTGGTGTCAGTGGGAGGAATAGTGCCCCATCATTGGTGTCAGTGGGAGGAATAGTGCCCCATCATTGGTGTCAGTGGGAGGAATAGTGCCCCATCATTGGAATACCATACTGAAATAGCATACCATATTGAAATCAAATCTGATGTTTTTTCATTTTTATTTGGTGTGCGTTGGAAGAGGGGTAGTCTTATACGGCGAGTATAGCTCAAACCCTATATTTTAACAGGAAAAGTAGGGGGTCGTCTTATATACGCCCAGTCGTCTTATACGCCGGCAAATACGGTATATATATATATATATATATATATATATATATATATATATATATATATATATATATACACAGAGAGCAATAACACAGCAAAGAGATAACAGACATTTAGAGAGAGATAAAGTACTTGCCAAAAGTCCTGGGTTAAGCAGCTTTCAAGTGTCCTGAGCAAAGGGGCCTTATCTCCCAAAGTTAGTTCCGATGTTAAAAGAGAGCTACTTCAACTCAGCTTAGCTTAGCTTAGCTCCAAGCATAACAGCTTTTCTAAGAACTCAGCAGGGTGTCTCCTTGCAGCAGAGAACCAATCGCCTCATTTGGGGAGAGTGTTGGGCGGAGACCCAAGCTAGAACCAAAATCCCTCCCAAGTTGATACCAGGGCAATAACTTTCCCTGGATACCTGTAACATTCTATCCACGAGTAGATTAATATGCAGAATCACCTGCCAAATGTCTAGATATGAAATATGACATACCTGCTTGGACGGTTAAGGAGATATCGTTTTCTGCTCTCCTGTAGATTCCAGCTTGGGGTTGTAATATATCAGACGACTTGTATTAAAGTGACCGGTCTGAATATATGTCTGTTTTTTATTTAAGTCTTCCATATCTCCAGATATATAAAATTATATGGAAAAGGGGATTTTTAAATGTGAGTCCGTTTTACGACTACCTGGAATGTCTTTGAAGCTCAGTGAAGGACTGGTTTTATGGCTTTACGACATCCCAAGCTAACAGACATCTGGGCACCAGCTAGGTTGGGATTTATAGCCATGGAGCTGTCCCACTGGGGCCTGTTGCCTTTTGAACTCAGCATACACACACAGACCACATTCCTGAGGGAGGGGGGAAATTGGAGGAGGGAGACTGATTTGGGAGTAGAAAATGATACAAGATGGAGGCCTTTGCCAAAATGGAGGTTTGCATCCATCTCTGTGTGCACGATTGCTACAAGGGGGTACCTTGATGGGGACCCTGATGTAAGGGGGGACCTTGATGGGGACCCTGATGTAAGTGGGACTCTAATGGGGATCCTGATGTAAGAGGGTACTCTGATATAAAGGATGACCCTTATGGGGTCCCTGATGTAAGGGGGGACCCTGATGTTAGGGGGGACTCTGATAGGGCCCCGGATGTAAGGGGGGACCTTGATGGGCACTGTGATGTAAGTGGGGACTGCGATGGGGACCCTGATGTAAGAGAGGACTCTGATATAAAGGATGACCTTGATGGGGACCCTGATGTAAGAGGGGGACTCTGATGGGAACCCTGATGTAAGAGTGGACTCTGATGTGGATCCTTATGTAAGGGTGGGCCTCTGATGTAAAGGATGACCCTAATATGATGTGTAGGGTGAACTTGATGTGGATGTGAGGGGGGACTCACTGTAACCTGCAAAGCAGCCTTTAGGTCGGGGGGGGGGGGGGCTTTAGGTCAGGAACATGGCCCTGCATTGCCATTCCTCCCCCCAGCCTCCGCTCCTCTCCTCTTCATTGCAAAGTGGAGAGTGGGAAAAGACACAGTTCTGGATAGAGGGGGGGGCTGCTGGAGTTAACGCTTCAAATTAACCAGCAGGTGATTGGTTGCTGGGTGGTCCTAGTTGGACTGCCTGGGCAACCTCTGTGGGTCCAGGTATGGCCTCATGCTACCAGTAGTGACACTGACACTAGCCAAATGTAAAACTAGTGAAAAACAGTCAGAAAAGATGAGTAGGGAAAAAAATGTCAGTGGCCTCCACCTGTAAACCATTCCTGTTTTGGGGGGTTGTCTCATTGTTGCCCTTCTAGTGCACCTGTTGTTAATTTCAATAACACCAAAGCAGCTGAAACTGATTAACAACCCCCTCTGCTACTTCACTGACCAGATCAATATCCCAGGAGTTTCATTGACTTGATGCTAAACTGTGATTAAAAAGTCTTCCTTTAATTTTATTGAGCAATGTATATATGACCTAGAAACTATATGCATTGTATTGGTGTGCTCCATTAGCATCAATGGAGAGCAGGTGAGACATCAGGGTCTTTTCATTAAAGAGAACTTGTCACAGCAAGCATCACATAGGAGACTTTTGGCCCCCTATGTGAAAAATAAATTAGGTGTACAAAATGTAAAAAAAAAGTTACACAAGCACTTAAATCCCCCCCAAAATATGAATCCCCCCACCCATGCATGAACATAGACTCAAGCATCAGGGGCATCTGCATATGAAATCGTCATCTGTGTTACACATGTTACATATCGCTGTGCACTCCGGAGTGAGATCACCTCTATGAACCGACAGTTTGTGGAAGTGATCGGGCAACTTTACAGCCCGTTATTCATAATGTCTCTAAACCAGTGACCTGTAGAGGCTTTTAAAGCGTTGCCTATGGAAAATGTAGGGCACTAAAGTTTGTCGCCATAGGTGTTTGCAACTTTAAGGCTTCACATGTTGGGTACCTATTTATTCAGTGCAGCCTCACCTTTTATATTTTACCACAAATTGGGTAATATATTATCTTTGTGCGTCCTAAAATTAAGTGTATTTTTTACTGAATTTAGCCTTAACGTGTTCATATCATTTCAAAATGTTTACATTGATTTGAATGCAAATAGATTTTTAAAGGCAGTGGGCTGGCAAAAAAGCAGATCTTCTAATTGCAACGGAAAAACCACTTTAAGGATAAAAAAGTTAAATTAATATTTTGCGTTTAAAAAAAAAAATATTGTTCACGATATTTGATGTTTTACAAACCAAATGACACTCATGGGAGAGGAAGAGTGATAGGAGAGTGACTGTTTGCTCCCTCTAGTGGTTAATCTACAAATCACTTTGTTTCATGCAATTCCAATACAGAAGAGCAAAGATGTAGAAATGTGAAAGGAACATAAAAGTATTATATTACTATGAACACTAAACTCAAAATATGTGAATAATTATAATACAATAATCTTTCCCTTTCAATATTTGTCTGTTCATTTTTTGTATCCTATTATTATATTGTTGTTTTTAGGATCTTCCAAAGTCTGTGCAACCAAATTTTATCCTGGACGTGGAGAAGGAGGAGCTTTTCATCACAGCGGGATTGCAGGACCGAGTTGTTCAGGTGAGGTGTCAAACCTACCACTTGATGGACCTTGGGTGATATAGGATCCATTCCCACTAGCAGCAGCCTTTATCACTCCTCCTCTGAAAAGTGATCCGCTGTGGATGAGGATGGTAAATACTGCCACCTCCTGTGCGTTTTTTTTTTTTTTCTACCGCTGAACAGTGACTTTGCATTCCGGTACCACTCGTGCACTTGGCTCGCAGTTGTGGTGCAGTGCCATTTACTTGCATGGAGAGTCTGATAAATGGTGCTACCTGTCAAACTTTGCTGTAAAACTGCCACACCATGATGCAAAGCATTGCTGTGGCACGGCAATGTGTACTCCCCCATGCATTACTATGTCTGCTTATAGGTTGGCTGTTAAAATGCGGATCAGTCTCCTGTTTTTACTGCCCTCTGGCTACCTGTGTAATAGGAGCCATAGTGAGCATTGTGTATTGGGTGCGTTAGCAGGTTGGACAATATTAGTAGGCTGCAGAATACAGATATTGACATGAGAGGCTGTGACAACCCAAAGAGGTAAAAAAAAAAAAGGTAAAAAAAAAAAAAAACTCATTCAAACGTGAGACCAATCCTGGGGGACAGCCGATCGTTTCTACAATTATTTCATTAACCGTGGCAATGTTCTCTACTGTTTAAGTGGAACTGAACTCAAAAAGACAACATTTAGAAATGTTAATTGTTCATTATTAGTACCCTGAAGGTGTACCTTTTCAACTTGACTCTCTCCTGAGACATAGTAGTGAACGTCCTGGGATGTGAAGGTGTCTAGGAGCTCCTGTTCTGTATCCTCAGACCAGGTTCACACTAATGCGGTGTGGGAAACTCTGCGAATCCTGTGCATTTCCCGCACGGCCTTGCAATCTCATGGCGTTCATGCAATCTGGTGTGGGTGCAGTAGTGTATTTTGGTTTTGTGCTGCCCTAGGAAGACTAAAATCGGGCACCCCTCATCTAAATTTGTCCCTCCCTTTGCTGTTTAAGATCCACCTCTTCAGGACAGGAGCATGATGGAGGGCAGTGTGACATGGGGGGGGGGTCGTCGTGGGACAGAAGGGGGGCAGCATGATGGGGGCCACAGGACAGGAGGGAGGCAGCATGATGGGGGGCCACAGAACAGGAGGGGGGCAGCAGGACAGGAGGGAGGGAACATGATGGGGGATATCAGGACAGGAGTAGGCCATCAGGACACTTGGGGGTAGCAGGACAAGAGGGAGGCAGCGTGACAGGGGAAGGGCAGCGTGATGGGGGCAGCGTGATGGGTGGGGAGGCAGAGGGACAGTTGGGGGGCAGAGGGACAGGTGGGGGGCAGAGTGACGGGGAGCACAGGATAGGATCAGGGCAGCAGGACAGGAGGAGCGCAGAGGGACAGGAGCACAGAGGGATAGGTGAGGGGCAGTGGGACAGCAGGAGTGCAGAGGGACAGGTGAGGGGCAGTGGGATAGGAGGAGAGCAGAGGGACAAGTGAGGGGCAGTGGGACAGCAGGAGTGCAGAGGGACAGGTGAGGGGCAGTGGGATAAGAGGGGTGCAGAGGGACAGGTGGGGGGCAGCGTGATGATGGGGGGGCATGGGACAGGATCGGGGCAGCGGGGACAGGAGGAGTGCAGAAGGACAGGTGAGGGGCAGTGGGGACAGATGGTGGGTAGTAGGACAATGTGGGGAACAGGAGGGGGGAAGTGGAACAGGTGTGGGGCAGGTTGACAGGTGGAGGCAATGGGACGGGGGGAGCGAAATGGGACAGGTGGGGGGCAGTGTGTCAGGGGGACAGTGAGACAGGAGTGGGGAACCACCAGTCCTCCATGCTCTTACCTGTCCAGGAGGGACTCCTCCAGATGGTGTCAGATCACTCAAGGAGGGGCGCCTGTGTCCCATCTCCCCCAGGATCTCCGTTGGCAGCTGCAAAAGAGTGGGGGGGGCTCCTCCACCCTGACCTCGTCTTCTTCTTCCTCCTCCGCTGGCACCTCCTGGCCATCCTGCACTAACAGCGGGCCCAAGCCCTCACGCACTCCTAGCGCACACGGGGGATCCGCCCACCACTCCGCTCTCCTCTGCAGCCGGTCCCTTGGCCCGGGTGACCCTCCTTGTGTGTTGGCTTGGCTGTACCCTCACCCATGACAGCCCTCCCGCTGACACACACAGTGTCCCTTCTGCCTGGGGGGGCGTGCCGCCACCCCCCTATAAACTGCCACCCTAGGCAAACCCCTTGTTTGCCTTGTAGCGAATACGCCCCTGTGTGTGTGTCAATGTGAAATTGACACCCCGAAACAGATTGCAAAATATGATGTGATCACCAGAAATTACATCGCATGGGTGAGAACACCCAAGCGATGTGATTCAAGTTCGGGTAAAAAAAAGGGTTCTGTACCTTTTTGGTGCGGATTCCATGCAATTTGATTCATACAAAATGTATGTCTCAAATCGCACCACACAGAAATTGCATGTAATTTGCACAATAATGCGGCACGATACATGTGTGAATTACATGCGGTGTCCTGCACAGCATTAATGTGAACCCAGACTCATAGCTGTCTATCTGCAGTGTAGGATCATCTATGGCACTGCTGCCCCTGACTGCTAGTCTTACAGGTTTTGGAATGGTATTTGGTGATATCATTATTGTGCTGATCTCCTTGCTGGAGGCTCTGACATGAGGAAGCAAAGCCATGCCTCTACCAAGATGGCCACCTCCATACACAGAGACACAGTGCAGAACAGCACTGGGGAAAAGATCAGCTACAGGGAGACCCAGGCACTTGGGAATAGTTATTTTCCCTCTGCCTGGCAGATTTTGGAAAAAGACCTTCACCCATTATATGTACTAGGCATCATTGTACCCCCCTCCCCCACCACAATGTAAAACATAAAAAAAAGTTTTTAGTTCTTCTTGCCCTTCTTACCCCCTGCTGCCAATCTTGCCTGGACAAGAATGACCACCTGTGCCCTGAAACCTTCTGGGATTTGCAGGTCACATATATCAGGATACTTCAGGTTCCATACAGTAGCTCAGGAGTGGCCAACCCGGTGGTCCTACCTGGGCTAGGAAGAGGTATTTGGCTCCCAATGTTGTCAACAATGAAAAAAATGATGGGAGACTTGTGACCTGGATGTGGGGGGTCACCAGCAGGACAACGCTGAAGGGTGAGCAAGTAAATTGTGCCTTACAGCAGGAAAAAAACAATAGGTGGGGTTAGCGAATTTCTTCCTTGATAATTACGTAATACACAATCTGTGAATGGGGGAGAGTCTTATCAGTCACAGGACTCTCTCCTCCATTCACTGGTTGTGTTACATGTAGTGTACTTAGAGAAATAACTTTTCAGAATAGAGGAGAGGGCAGGAGGGGCATGACCCAGCGGGACCATCTTTGGTGCAGCTGAGCCTGGAGATCTGAAGCTGTTAACCCCCACAGTGCCAGCAGTTCGGAATCAGGAAGAGGACAGGGCAGCCCTGCAGTGAAGATTTCTCCAGAATCCAGCAGTCTGTACATTGTGGGACATACGCCTTGACAGGTAAGTAATGTAACTAAAGATGGAAAGAAAAAAAATGTTTTTCAGCTAAACTTCAGCTTTAAGACCTCTGTCTTTTGTATTTGGGTAGGGAGGGAACATTTATATATGTTATATAAAAATCCAGAAAATCCTGTTCCAGCTGTAACTGGCCAATATCCAACAGTTTCATATTGGTCTATATAGTACTGCATTATCCTGTCCTCCCTGTCTTACTTATGAGCTCCATGATCTATTGTCATATGATGTCCTTTGTAGGTTTATGAAGGTCTGATCTACATGGACTTCAGCAGATCCATCATGGAGGAGCAGGGCTTCGGTAAGTGTTTTACTCACTCTTGGGACCCGGGACTTTCCATGGGCCACGCTTTTCTCTGTAGGGATGAGAAGTGATTTTTGCCTAAGTAGGAATCAATTTTCACTGATTTTAGGCAAATTTTGAGGAAAGAGTATGTTACCCCAACATTTCATATTCCTGGTATCAGGGCTTTTATTTCTCAAAGAATAGGTACAGGAATCACCCCTTCCAAGTCACCCCTTGTCTCTGCTCCTACCCGCCTCTGAGCACCATTCCTTGGTCCCCCCCTCCTACCCACCTCCCAGTATTGTCCCTTGTAGAGAATACAGAACCAAGTATCATTTTGTGGTGCTAAGTAATTTGTATGAATTTGTTAATGGTAACAAGAAAAGCAATAAAATAGATCCTCAGCAGCCAGCAACAATAGATCCCCTATACAGCGATAATAGACCCTCCAAAAACAAATTACCCCCCAAGCAATGATAGGTTCTCCTGCCAGCAACAATAGACCCCCACAACTATAGATCCCCCAGCAACAATATATCCCCCTACAGCGATAATAGACCCTCCAACAACAAATTACCCCCCAAGCAATGATAGGTCCTCCTGCCAGCAACAATAGACCCCCCAACTATAGATCCCCTAGCAACAATAAATCCCCCTACAGCAATAATAGACCCTCCGACATCAAATTACCCCCCAAGCAATGATAGGTCCTCCTGCCAGCAACATTAGACCCCCCGACAACTATAGATCCCCTAGCAACAATAAATACCGCTACAGAGATAATAGACCCTCTGACAACAAATGACCGCCAACCAATGAAAGGTCATCCCCCCAGCAACTATAGATTCCCCAGCAACAATAGATCTCCCAGCAGCGGGTATTAATAGACCCTCTAGCAACCAGCAAGAATAGACACCCTCCCAGTATCTCTCCCAGCAACACCTGACCTCCCTAGCAACAATAGATCCCCCAGCAGCCAGTAATAATAGACCATCCAGCACTATTACCTACCCTCGGTGCTGGAACTGCGTTCCTCCACGTTCCTGCAGAAAAAAGAGCCCTGCCTGGTATGTGCCTTCTGTACCATGTAGTTGTGTTAAAAAGTCTCCTGTTCTCTTTGTATTGCTTCCTTGGTGTGAAATCCCTGGTGTTCCTGCTAATCCTTCTGCTTTCCTATTAAAAACTGACCACACTAGGCAGGAGAACACATTCTTCTCAGCATGGTCATGGCTTGCCTGTCCTCCAATGGCCAAGACTTGTCCTAACCACCCCCCTCCCCCAACTTTCCCGCACAGCCATTCACTGGGAAGATTAGTGTCCTGCTGTTCTTCTACCCCTAGCTCTCTAAGCCACTTATGCAGCTGAGAAAGGAGATTATGTGATCACTTATTTGAAAAAAAAAGCATTTATATATTTTTTATATATACACACTGCTCAAAAAAAAAAAATAAAGGAACCCTTTGAAAACACATCAGATCTCAATGGGGAAAAATTTCCTGCTGGATATCTATACTGATATGGAAGGGTAATGTGTTAGGAAGGTAAGGATGCCCCATCGTTTGATGGAAATGAAAATGATCGACCCACAGAGGACCGAATTCAGACACCCAAAAATCAAAGTGAAAAAATTATGCAGCAGGCTAGTCCATGTTGCTGAAATGTCATTGCAGCAACTCAAAATGGTCCTCAATAGTTTCTATGACCCACCACCAAAATGGTCATGCTGAACCATGTTACAGGCAGCATAATGTTCTCCACGGTTCTCCAGACCCGTTCACATCTGTCACATGTGCTCAGGGTGAACCTCTTATCTGCCAGTGGTGGACCTGCCAATTCTAGTGTTCAATGGCAAATGCCAATCGAGATCTATGGTGCTGGACAGTGAGGAGCTGGGCCATCAGGCCACCATACAGTGAAGTCGCACGATGTCAAAGTCGGATGACATGCCGATTTCAGGTGCGATTTGCAAGATATCTGACACAGATGTCTATGCAAATTGCATCAATAGTAGTGCATGTACTACTTTAGAAATCGGTGCGGCTCCGACCAAGTCAGAAACACAACCATTTGATGGCTCTAATTGCAGACAATAGGATGCGACTTGGCATATGATTTACAAATCGCATGCCAAGTCACACCTGATGTGACCGGGGTGTTAGGGAGCTATTCATAAATGTTTCACCCAAGACTCATGTTTTCCCAATTGAACCCAATCAGAACATAGTATGAATCTTAGGTGAAAACATTTACACAATGACTTTCTACTCTGTGTTCATCCATACCCTTCATTTGAGAAAGTTGCTGATACTATGTATCTTTGATTTCCTGCAGGAAATTACGTCCATATGGACACTGGCTGTGCTCCTCCATTTTGGCTAGCGTATCTTCGTGATCCAAGTGATTCTGGTGTGATCCACAACAATGTCCGACAACGATGGCTGAACGGTGAGCATCTGGCGGTGGCTTTTTATCTAATACAATAAAGTCCGGTACCCCTCAACCAAATCCTCATACTTTACTCTGACTACAGAACATTCGGGTCACTCTGGGTTATGGCACCTCATACATAGTTACACCATTAGTCTGGTTGAAAAAAGACACAAGTCCATCCAGTTCAACCAATAAAATGGAAAAAAATATATACAATCCTATACTCACAGTTGATCCAGAAGAAGGCAAGAAAAACAGCAAAGCATGGTCCAACTTGTTCTATCGGGGGAAAAATTCCTTTCTGATCCCCCAAGAAGCAATCGGATATTCCCTGCATCAACTTTACCTATAAATGTTAGTATCCAGTTATATTCTGTGTATCTAGGAAAGAATCCAGCCCTTTTTTAGAGCAATCTACTGGGCTGGCCAGAACCAACTCTTGAAGGAGTCTATTCCACATTTTCACAGCTCTTACTGTGAAGAAACCTTTCCGTGTTTGGAGATTAAATCTCTTTTCCTCCAGACGTAAAGAGTGCCCCCCCTTGTCCTCTGTGATGACCTTAAAGTGAATAACTGCACCTTTTTCACTCTACTGACATACAGTCTGTACCATCAATCGGCAGCCCTGGTTATGGCACTTTATACTGCCTGTACTCCTTATTGTTTGACCCTAGTTTATTGCATTTCATACTGCCCCCCCCCCCCCCCCCCCCCCATGGCATCCTTGATTATGGCACTTCATTCTGCCTGAACCCCCTATCGGTGTCCCTGCTTATTGCACTTCCTACAGCTTCATACAAGTCTATCAAGCATCTTCAGTGAGGAGCTGAGCAGCAACCAACCAGCAGTCACTTCACTACTCCAACTTCTGTATACTGAAATCCAATTGGATGCTGGAAGTAGCTGCTTATTTAATGACCCTCAACTTTTAAAGGGTCACTTCACCCAGTACTAATGCAGTTTTTGTATGCCGGTGGGATTAAATCAATTATAAAGTTTTTTTTTATTAAATCATGCTTACCTAGGTGGATGCAGCATTAATCCGATGCTGCATCTGTTCCCCGCTGGCTCTAAGCATGAGAACTGAGTGATCAAAGAGTGCTGATCACTTAGTTCTCAGTGCCCCGTGAGCAGAGAGCTGGTGACTGTCAGTCTCCGGCTCTCTTATTCCCCCCCGCACTCACTGGAGTGCTGGGCTGTGGAGAGTGCAGGAGAGGCTGGCTCAGGCTCTCGGTGGATCGCTGTGAGGCTGAGCCAGGTGCCAGTCCAGGGATCTGGGTGGACTCTGACTTTAAAGTCAGGATCTTTCCCTAGCCTGGACCGGTTTAGGGATGTCAGCTGACAGCAGACTTTAACTTGCTGTCCGCAGAAAACAGGTTACAGGAGTGCAGAACAAACTGCACTCCTCTGATCCACAGGAGAAGTACAGCTAAACAAGCTTTGGCTGTACTTCTCCTTTAATGGTTGGTGTTTGTTCAAGCATCATTCTGCATCACCATCTACTTCCCTAGGGTAAGATGACACAACCATGTAAATCTGGGTGCCTATGCAGTTCTTGGGCTGTGTTCACAAATGTCTGATACAGATCAGCCCCTGCTGCAGTATCTCATTTTAAAATTTGCTGCAAGAAGTTTGATTTTGAGTTTTGAAGTTTTGTCACCTGGGGAGAGAAGACTGAGGAAATGCTTCTTCCTGCTTGCAGCAGACTGGTGACATCATCTCCACCTAGGCAAAGTCACTATTTTGAGTTCAAGGATAGCTATTTAATAAAGGTTGAAGCTTTTAAAAAAAAAAAAAAAAAAATACTGTATACTGGGAAAAATGAAAAGTCAGGAATGTATTCATACTCTCTACAGACTTCTAAAGTTACTGACAGGTCCACTCTTAATATATCACACACAGCAATGAGCATAGACCTACTTGCATTCCCCATACAATGGACAGGTGATTGAAAGGTGATATAACTAGATAGCGGAGATTAATGGGAGTTCCAGGGAGACTGCTGGCTGTTCCTGGGAATCGGGGGTGGTGAGTGCCGAGGAATGTAGGGTGATGGCGACATTGTGTAATAACCGAGCTGAGAGTCTTTCTTCTTGCAGGTGATCCTGAAGTTATCGAAGCCATGAAGATGTTTGCAGAGCTGACAGATAAAGCAAGGTAAGATATATATATATATATATATATATATATATATATATAGACATTTTCATATGTGTGAGGTTACTAACACTCTGTCATATATAAGGGCTCATGTACACTGCATCTGATAAACTCACGTTTAGGAGATGTTCAGCGTTTTTTTCAGCAGCCCCTGAACTCACCCTAATGTTTTCCTATGTGTCCATGTACATATCTTCGTTTACAGTTGTTTACAGGCAATTGAGTTTACAGTTGTTTTTTTGAACGCAGAAAACTTGCGTTCAGCAGTCGATTTTTATCAGCGTTTCAAACGCAAAACGCTTGTAATCCTGGCAAATTGCGCTTATAAGCGTTTGTGTTCAAAAAAATTTTTTAACTTTTCAAGTTCCCGATGCTGTCCAGAGCCTTTTTTCATCATGAAAAATGCAAGAAAAGCATTTGCAAGGTACTAAAATGGACAAAACACTGAACACAGAATGTTCCTACCAAGCTTGTCACAGATTGTAATGACCAATTCACACCTCAGACCTCTCCCACCCTTGGAAACAAAAGAAATGTTAATGAGCAACTCACACCTAAGCTAGTCTCAACACATACTGCTGTCTCTGCTTCTACTCTCTGTATTTCTCTGAAACAGTCTGAAATAGTTAATAATTTACCACTTTCTGGGCATTTGGGAGGTACTCCTGTGTTTATCTTTAAAAAACACTTCTAAATGCAAACTCGGCAAACCTGAAGTTTTTTTTAACGTACGTTTTCCAGCAGTCAGTTTCCATCATTCAGAAGGGTCCCGTGTACATGGGGCCTAAGACACGATTCCAACCAGTATACCTATATATGACAATTCTGCCTTTTCAGGGCAGCGATAGAGCAGAAGAATTGGATTGAAATGGCCAAGCTGATGGACCGGAACCTGGAACTGCGGAGGTAAGGCGGATCAGGAAGGATGGAGACGGAAGATGGTGGAGTACACCACAGTACCATTCCTCAGATGGAGCAACCAACCCAAAAAGGGGATATATGATATGAGACTAAGTGACAGATTGTGCACAATTTCTTACCTGGAGATCCTGCCTTTAACAGCACTTCCTTTTGCAGGCTGACAACATTAAACCACAACCTCCCAAATAGCAGTAGTGTTGTCAGCCTGCTTTCATCAGCTTCCATAGTCTATAGTGGTCACTAGGTCTTCTCTCCCCCCCCCCCCCCAGCACTGCATACGTTACATTCTTGTTTGGCTGTAGGTGAGGTACTTCCTTATCCCTCACTTCTACAGGCTGTGACCAGTCCCCCCTCAAAGCCACTTCATTGGCTAGCCAATTGATGTCTTCACTGGCCCTCTGATGCCATCATATACAGTGTAGGAGTAGCAGTCCTGCATTGTACAAGAGGACAGAGAGGACCTGCCCACAGCCCAGACAGTCAGACAACCCCAGCTGCCAGGGGAGAGAGGAATAAGGTAGGTATTACTACTTACACCTTTCCCCTGCAAGGAACAAGCATTTAACGCATGCAGTGCTGGGGCCCCCACTACATGAGTGCATTTAGCAGCAGCCCGGAGTTGGGCTTTAAGAAAAGTGCACATAGTGAGGTATGATGCCAAATATACCAACAGCATAGATATGGCGTTTACCTCTCTTTTATGCTGGTGGAAGATGTACTTCTCCTTTCAACATTTGATTACTATAACAGAGCTTACTCCACCTATTAATGACATCAATTCTCCACTCCAGGTCAATATTTACGGACGCCTGCCTGGGCCCCGGGAACCTGCGGATGGTTGAAATCGCTAAACAGGTATTCTCTTTTATTTCTTGAAAGAAAGTGGTTGCCCCTGACACAGACATATACACCCAGCACAAGGTCTGCTATCAGTGCTCTGGGCAGGGAGGAATCAGTAGTACAGGCTGCAAAAATGTGCCAGAGTGCTGGGCATTTTCTGTTCAAAATGTGACATTAATTTCTGATAATGGTGACATGACAAAGGTGAATGTTTATTGAAACATTTCACAAGGTGATTTATCCAAAATAGCTTTGTGTGTGTCCCCATGGAGAGATCTCCCCTTACTTCCCATCCTAGAGGCATGCCAGGAAGTAAGGAGAAATTCTCAGCTCTGACAGCTGTCACCCTGACCAGACAGAGAATATCAGGGGACACACAGCAATAAAATCAGAGATGGGAAAAGTCATAGGATCCTCTGGGAGATCTTCTGTATATTGCAGTCTCTGCCTTCCTGTTACTTGGTTTATCCCAGCAATGTAGGACCGGAAGTGATCTCCCCAACTGGGACACAGAGCGCAACACATTATAGAACACTGTAGAAATGTAGATAGTCACAAGAATGATGGCAGAAAAAAAACTAAATGATGCACTCATTGAGTTGGAAGACAGTCTGAAGATTAAATGACATAGAACTGCATATGTGTGTGTGTATGTATGTGTGTATATATATATATATATCAGGGGCGGACTGACAACTCATGGGGCCCCCAGGCAATAGGGGATCATAGGGTCCCTGTGTCCTTGCCCAAACTCAAAAAAGCCTATGAAAAAGGTACCAGGGGCATCTCATGGGGCCCCCTACTGACCCCGGGCCCTCAGGCAGTGCCCAAGTTTCCAAATGGTCAGTCCGCCCCTGATATATATATATTTATATATATATTTATACACACACACACTGTAAATATTATTTGTTAAAAGCAGCAGCTAGATTGGAATTTTTTTCTCTTTTGAAAATAGCGGCGCAGAATCAGAACTGACTTGGTATTAATAAATTTGTTTAGCATCCCACTTTAAAAGATAATTTCACTTTTACATAAAAAGTAACAAATGCACATATTTTTGCAGGTAATTAAATGTGCATTTATTATTTTTTAAAACAGGAGCCTGCAAAGAATTGCACCCAGTATCAGCAGATCGCGGGTGCAATGTCAGGCTCCTGCACACACCGCCTACAGCTATGTTGCCTATACATCTTTACAGGCTGTCATTTTCAGAGCTGTAGGCAGTGTGAATGAACTACGGGGTGTGCTGATCAGAGCGCCTTCAGTTCCTTCAAACTACAAAATCTGTCTGCTTCACTGGCAGGATGGGACGTGTCTTTTTTCATTCGCAGTAATCTATGAATGAATGTCAGAATGCTGTGTGGGAGGAGCCCCGCACAACCACGCTATTTTCAAAAAGTGACAGTGAGTACAGGGGGAAGAACCCCCACCCCCTATCACATGGAGGAGGGGGATTAGAGGGAGAGGGTGAAATATGGGTGGAACATGTTACTTGTTCCAAAGGTGAACTTATCCTTTAAAGAGACCCTGTCACCAACTTAAGAAAATTGAAGGTAAAAACTTGGAAAAGTCAAGTATTTTAAATGCCAGTTTGGCAAAACAATTTTTTTTATAATTCCATTAATGGTTTTTCACTTAGTTGCAAATTGTCTTTAAATCTTTAGAAAATCTGACTACTCCAGGAAGAGTCGATTCCTAACACAATCTCCTCCTGCCCCCTTGCCCATCACAGCCCTCTATCCTTGCATCTAGATCAGCCTTTTTCAACCTTATCCGCACAGAGGAACCCTTGAAATAACTTTCCGGTCTCAGGGAACTCCTGCCAGGGGCGTCCCTAGGGTTGGCGTCACCCGGTGCGATAACACTTGGTGACACCCCCTCCACGATCCCCGCAGAATGGTTCGGATCTGCGGAGTGAACATAATGGATCGCAGTCCGATCCATTATGCTCCCCAATCCGCAGATCCGATCCATCCTGCTAAGGATTGGCGGCATGCAACTCGGTTCACGAAAACGTAAGTTGTAAAGAAAGCCGACGATCCCTGCAGGATGGATCGGATTCATCCTGCGGAGATCGTCAGCTTGCTTTACAACTTACCTTTTCGTGGAGAGTGTCCGGTGTCACCCGGTGCGGAGCGCACCTTCCCCCCCCCGCACCTGTCTCGGGGTGCCACTGACTCCTGCTAATAATTACTATATCTACAACCCGTGATACATCAATGTGATGGTCAGTGGGAAGAATCATCCTAATGCAGGCCATAGATGGGGAGAAAACCGGCTGATTTTCTTTAAAAAAACGAAAAATCGGTCGTTCCATCGGCTGATGTTACCAGGAACGGTAAAAAAAATCGGCCGATTTTCGTCCCGTCTACAACCGGCAAAAAGTGTCTCTGCAGAGAGCTCCGCTATTTCTTTGACAGTTCTTTGACATTTATAGCGGCTGCAACATTGTATCTATTTGTATCCATTTCGGATACAGATGTTTTTATTCGGAAACAAATAGATACATTGTTGCAGCCGCTATAAATGTCAAAGAACTGTCAAAGAAATAGCGGAGCTCTCTGCAGGGACATTTTTTGCCGGACTGGACTTCTTCTTCATCCTCTTCTTTCTTCATCCTCTTCTTCTTCATCCTCTCTTCTCTTCTTCTTCATCCTCTTCTTCTTCTTCTTTTTTTGTCTTCCTCTTGCAGGTCACTGCTCATGCGCAGATTTTTTATCGGTAAAAAGATCCGCAGATTTGCCCATCATTGCCGCAAAAATCGGTTTTTCAAACTTTACCGATGAAAAAAATATGCCAAAATACCGAAAACGGCCGACCTATTAACCCACTAACGATCCGAAAATTGGCCGATTTTATTTTCGGCCGAAAAATCGGACGATTTTCGACCCATCTATGGCCTGCATTACACTTGTGGTCATTGGGAAGAATTACCCTCTAACAGAAAGCTAAAAAGATCAATGGTGTCAGTGGGAACTTATCTGAGAGGCAGAAATTGCTAATTACTCAAGATACCCCTACCAACCTCTGCAGGAACACCGTTGGGAAACTCTGACCTAGATATTCTCTGTGCTGGTCCAGCTCCTCAACAACTCACCTCACTACATAACTTTTTATATACAGTAGCTGTGATCTACTTCAGCAGCATAGATGTTTTTCTCCTGCAGGAGCAAATTGGATCATGCTTTGCTGGATTTTTTGCCTTCCTCTGGATCAACTGTGGGTGTAGGATTATAACTTTTTTTTTTTTATTTTAATGGTTGAACTGGATGGACTTTTGTCTTTTTTTCAGCCAGACTAACTATGTAACTATGTAAGATTGCAGGTCCTGCCCATTTTTTCCCCCCTTTCCTGCCTCCTCCTTTACCCATCCCTCAGCCCAACCCTGCTTGAAGTAATGAATCTCTCAATAATGATATTGTACAAATATATTCCTAATTATACCAATGGTGCCATTTTTTTGCTCTGGCTGTAAATATTTTCCCGCGTTGGGCCATATGGTCTCCGTAGAATGTTTGGCAATCTCATAAATTGTGAATTTTGTATTCAAGGAGCTTTTCCAAGTTTTGTGATTCATTCTGCAGATTACATTTTTGAACTTAAAAAAAGGTTAAATTTGTTTTGTATTTTTCAGCACGGATGCGCGGTGAAGCTCCCTGGCAGTGGTGGCGCCGTTATTGGTCTCTGCTTTGATGGCAAAAAACTGGTGAGCTTGTGCGCATGTTACATTTTGAGCTTTCAATATTTGTTTTCGGGATGAACCATCTATTCTTCCTCTTGTGTTAAGGTTGAACTTAAGAAATCCTACCAAGAGGAGGGCTATGTGTTCTGCCAGCTATCCGCTTACTGCCCTGGAGACGTGTAAGGCGAGGCATCGGAAAGAGAAAATAAAAGTACACCTATGTACAAGAGAGGGCGCCACTTGAAGGAGATAATCATTCAGCCAATGAGATGGAGAGACATCAGTGATGTAGGTGAGGCACATAGTGCCCCATGCCTCAGGTCCATGTGAATATTATGCTAAAATTGTGATATTTCTGCTCTTTAGGTTCAGTATTTGCTATAAAAATGGAAAATAACTTTTGCTACGGCAGATTTACATGTTTTATAGCTGAGGGAATTTGGCTTTTTAGCCCTAAG